CGCCCCCCCTCCCCTACCGCCCCGGGCCGGGGGCCTCCTCACCGCCCAAACTCCGCGTAAATCTTTACAGAGATTCCCCCGCCGCCCTGATGGACTCCCCGCTTGTGTTTAATGACGTTAAATGAGCCGTTTTCGTTCCCCGCACGTGGCCGGCCAGAGATCACTGCCATGCACGAAAAGGCGAAGTTGCCCTATAAACTGCGGTGACGGCCGGATCCTGCAGCCTGGCGGATCCCCGCTTTGCCTATGTCCCCGATACAGGTCTGAGAAACCACTTCTGACACCCCCGCACTCGCCAGACCCTTCCCTCCGGGCACAGAGTGAGCGGTCCGGCTGGAAGGAGATGCTCGTAAGCTCCCCTCTTACGCGGCGGCGGGATGCATCCTCTTTCCTATGGAGCCTGCTTTTAGCTTATTTTTGCACTGTGGCCGGGGGCTTCTTGAGCACAGGATTAAAGCAGCAGCAGGGCAGCTAGGAACAGGGCGGAAAGCAGGGGACTCGTCTCCCTTGTGTTGACTTCCAAGTCTTAAACTGAGTCCAGAAAGCTGCACTCGCTGCGGCGGGAACCCGCAGTTTTAACATGAGCCGCATCCCTGTTATGTCAGTGGATCCTTGCCACAGCAGCCACCATCTGCCTACGAGAGGAAAGGGAAGGAATATGATCTTGATGGCGAGTGGCGAAGGGGCACACGCTGTATCCGTGATAGTCTCCGCTTCTTATCTACGAGAGGTTTGGAGCCGTGTCGGTCCGCTTAAACCCTTTTATTACCCACGCCCCGAATATTTCCATTACACACGGTCTGTGCTCCTCAGCTGATATGTGAAACCTGCTGCCTTATCTCTGTCGGTCGATTGATATTTTCTGTGTGCAAGCCCAAGGCATTAAATCAATGTCTCCACTCTGCAGTGGCATATTCTCTACAGACTGGACTGTGGGAGACAAGTGAAGTCCTGCTAAAAACGGGCTTCATCCTGTCTCAATTCGCACGAAGCTCCCTTTGGCAGAAGAAGCGGGACTTCAAATAGGATCCACCTGCCCGAACTTGGTGCCGAGCAACCCTGAGCTGCGGGAGCTCTATTGGCGTTTGTCCACTCAGGAAACAGGCAGAGGGAAGAGGCCGCATAGCCGAGTTACGGGGTACCCGGCCAAACCCAGGGTCCCGGGCACAAACACCCGCTCCCTCCCTCTGCAGGACCCGCATGCGGCGGCCCGCGAGAGACCCGTGGTAAATCTCCACCCTACCGAGAGCACCCGCGTAGCACAACGCCGGAGCCAGCTGCGTCTCGCCGGCAGCGCCGCGCTCGCACCTCGGCCTTTTTTTTCCAGTAGCCAATCCGCCCACACCTGCAAAGCCCACGGCAGAGTGGCTTTCCCATACTTTTTCTCCCGTTTTTCGCTGGGTCGTAGCGCTGGCTTGCCTTTTCTTTTCTAAACCGACCCTTAAATTTAGTGTGCCGCCGTTGTCCCTAACCCGTCAGGGGGCAATTATGTGCTAATTATGAGCATTACACAGTTCTTTCATCTGGCGGCCGCTCACGAAGGGGGCTGAGCGCAGCGAAATCTGTTCACGTTTAACCTCCCCTCCCGCCCCCGGCGATGCCGCTTGCTGGGGACCAGCGCTCGCCAGCGCGGCTGCTGTTATTGCCGGGGACGATCCGAGCCAGGGCTACAGAGCGGGCTCAGAGCTGGAAACTC